CACACACGTTAGAGATGCGATTGGGCCAGCCCAGTGTCAGTATAGAAAATGACCCAACGGGCCACTGTCCATGCTTTATGGGCCGGTCGTTGGCCCATTTTTTAAACAGTTAAAAAATAAATAAACACCTGTTGGCCCACCGGGCATTGCTGGTAGTACTGCATTTCCCTTTTGAATTCCATGAACATTATCCAAAGGCAAAGTGCAGTATCAGCATTTATATGTATTATGTAGGCTTTAGGCATTGAAAATGATCAGCCTAAAAAGGCATAAAATAAAGGCAATACAACTTTTCTATCTATCACACTTCATGCTTCTGTAGTCACTGTTCTGGCTTTGTAGGACAGTATATCATTCAAACACATTTATAGCCCATTCTGTGCATCCAGTAGATCTGTACAGCTCAAACTCTCTCTCTCTCTCAGGGTCCTATAGGTCTCACGGGAGACCTTGGACAACAGGAGAGGCTGGACCCAATGTGAGTGCCTGCTTTTTCGGATCATCTTCCTCTTTTACTTCTTCTGCATCTGTAATTAAAAATATTTTGGCAGTTATGGAACCATCTTGTCCAATGCAATAGCAAACGCAGATCTTTCTGGATTAAACACATTTCCTTGGTTTTTGTCTATGTGACTTGCATTGTATTTAAAAGAACAATTTGCTACGTAACATAACATAGTCAAACAAAGCTATACTTAAGGAAAGTCAAAACATTGAAAATTACATCAAATCAAAGATCAATATGTAGAATCGTACATTAAACATAATTTGGAGCGAAGACAAAATTCCATGCTCATTTAAGAACTGGTACATTTACATCTGGAAATTGAGTAAGAAATGATTAATTATTATAAAATATAATAATAGAATATCAAATAATATTATTTGCATTTCAATTCCCAATGCATAGCAACTTTGAAAAGTGTAGTTAAAAAAGCCTAATGTGTGGGTTGATTTTATATCAGTACCAACTGTATCTCATGAAGGATGTTTTTTTTTTTTGTCAATTGGTCAAACATCATCACATATTGTCTAGTTTGTTTGAATCAGGCCCCTTTGTTATTGCTCTTTCTACATTAAATTATTCCATATTGCCAAAGACAACCTCAGCTTATTTTTGGTGCAGAAGAAGTGTAGTTTTCCTGTGCCCACTATTTTTTTTTGCCACTTCAGGGTGTGGATGGTCTGCCCGGGTCCAAGGAACATGGAGACCTGGGAATCTGTGAGCTCCTACCTTCATACACCATGACATCAGTAATTCATAAAATAAAAGATGCTGTCATCATACAATGCAATGATGGCCTTATAATTAGTTTTTATATTGCTCAGGGACCCCAGGTGCGGCAGGAGAACCTGGACCACCTGGACCTCCTGGGCGAAGGGTTTGTGTGTTTGTTTTTGTGTTAATGTGTCAGTGCCTGCAGGGACCTCTGATGCACTCACTAATTTTCTACCCCATGTGATTAAGTATAGATTAAACATCTTCCTCTGTTAGAATGAGGTTGAAGGTATTTTTCTCAGTGCATTGTCACTGTGGGTTTGTGCATCAGTGCATCTTTATGTCAGAAAGTTTTATCAATGTTATAAAATGATGCTCTTCAGGCCACTTGGGAAAACAAGGGAAGGAAGGAAAGGCAGGCCTGAAAGGAGCGAAGGTGAGAGTTACAAAACAACTGATTAATAACATCTGAATGCTCACAGCTTCTGAAGGTCACCCTATTCTCTGTCTGTTTCAGGGTGCTCCGGTTTGGAGGGTCCCATAGGCAAGACAGGGCCTGTAGTGCCAGGGTCACCTGGGAAACCTGGGCCTCAAGGTTTAAGAGGGATCCCTGGCCTGCAGTAAGTCACAGGGTGAAGAATGAAGCAGTGGAAGTGGAGCATAAAAAGATGGAGGTTAATTTATTTCTGATTCTTTCTCTCAGGGTGAGCAGGGTTTAAATGGACCCCAGGCCAGACAGGACCCCAGGTCCATGGTAAGATGACTCATCAAAAGCAAGCACCATAATGGAGAAATACTATTAGAAATGAAATTATTATTTTATTGATAGTTAGGGACAGTATGATCAGAACACTCAAGTAAAGCAAGTTTTATATGCACTTGCTACACTTCAGCTTTTATTTGACATCATCCTAACTTCATCTTCTCAGGGTCCACCGGGATTACCTGGACTGAAAGGAGACCATGGCAAGAAGGGAGACAAGGTGCGTGCATACTGTACATAAATAAACATTCACTCTGAACTTGACTGACTTGAACTTCAGCTGATTTGTGATATCGCTGCATATCGCAGGGTCATGGTGGTCTAATAGGTCTGATAGGGCCACCAGGAGACATGGGAGAGAAAGGCGACAGAGGACTGCCAGGAAACCAGGGACTACCTGGTCCAAAGGAGATGAGGTGCTGAAAATATACACAAACACATACGCACAAGCCTGGATTACCAATTTGTCGCGGGTTTGCCCTGTGTTAATTGGTTTGTGGGCACTGTCATTATAAGATAAGACAAGATCAAATTTATTGTCCCCGAAGGGAAATTTGTCTTGGGCATCAGTGCGCATGAGGCTGCAGTAAGCAACAGTAACACATTTGGACTTACATTCACTACATCATACAGTCCGCACCATACATTTACGTTACATTGCACATTACATTACAAGTCACAATCACGACCCTGCCCCTGTCAATAATTAATTACAAGGTAAGTAGAACCTAAGTGAAATAAACCAATGAATTATTATATTCAATGCACTTGAGCACATAAAGCAGAAACAATATAACAACACTAAAAGTACATCCACCACAATTCTATATAAAAAAGAAACACTTATATAAGACCTGGTTGATGAAAAAAACATTGTTAGGTGTGTAAATGTATGCTAAATTCAGTACATTGTTCAGTATGTTTTTGGTAAAGGATAAAATACATAAACAGAATTCATTACATTAAGTAAAGCAACACATTCACACTAAATTGGTTTATGAGCCATAATTGCCATGGTAAAAATCAAGGTACTCAAAATATGCATATGGTCAGTAAGTTAATAAATTAAAAGGCATTGGATCGTATTGCTCCAGTTAATTACATGGATCAAAAACAATTAAATAATCAAGTACTTTGCTTACAGTGTTTATTATATATTTAGGCTATAGCTTGATTATAATTGAACCATAGTGAACTATATTTTATTTACAGTACTGTATTACTGTATATGTATTTAATAATACACACCAAAGTAATTACATTTTTACAGTCATTTGAACAATGTCTATGTCACACATACTGTAGTTTCTCATACAGCTCTGATTAGCATGGTTTAGCTAAAATAAAACAGCTGAGACATTGTCAAAACCTTTCAGGTGACACTTTTTAAGGTTGAGTGAGCATGATGGACTTTATTAGTGTAGTAGTAATAATTTGATTTATATAGTGTTCCCACCTGAACATGCACTTTGACACACAGCAAACACCCAAGGTAACTGAATGTTGTCCATCTTTAAAAGGACAAGGCTGGCAATGTATTCCATATTTTTCTAATTGGCATCACATCCCATAAAAAGATCAAAAACAGCAATGAATTTGTAGTAGTTACCTCCAGCAGATCTACTTTTTTCTTAATCTGACAGTTTCATGTCTTTTATGTTAATGTCAGGGTCCGCTTGGTTCACCAGGTCCTCACGGTCCCTTGGCCCCACGGGTCTGTCTGTGAGTATACAAGATAATCCTGACAGTACATGCAAAAACATGAATCACCCTTGTTAGCATTGGGATACTGGGACATTGTTTATTTGTGGTCTTAACTTTTAACTCTTTACCTCTCTCACAGGGTGCTATTGGTTTAAAGGGCTCAAAAGGAAACCAGGTAACTGTGATGCTCACTGTTTCATTGGATTGAATTAGTCACTTTGGAGCCTCATACCTCTCTACTGCCCTAAATTAATCCCTTTGCTCTGTGTGCATTTAGGGTCCAATTGGTCCCAGAGGAGACACTGGGCCTGCAGGACCTCCAGGACCACCAGTGAGTTCTGCTTATAGTTAGTACAACTAACAACCATCAATAAAGTACAAAACTATAAAAACTTCATCCCTGTTTCCAATGCTTCTTCCTCCCCTTTCTCATTATAACTGCCTGCTTTAATCTGCTTTCCTCCCTACCTGTTTCTTTCCCTTTACCATTTTTCTTTCTCTCCTCTCCCCAGGGATTGCCAGCAGCTGGGATTTCCCCTCTGCCAGAGAGGACGGAGAAGGAGAACCCACACCTTGGTGGATGGTGCTACATTTGAAGTGGAAGAGGAGAGGGGATGCGATAGATGGAAGAGAGGAAGAATGGATGCAGGGGGACCAGGCAGAGCAGCACGGTGGGATGAAGGAGAAGGAGGGCCAAGGCATGGAGGAAGTGTTTGCATCTCTGTCCTCTATGAAAGTAGAGGTGGAGGGTCTGCGTAACCCACAAGGGACGTACCACAGCCCCGCCCGCACCTGTAAGGAGCTCTGGCTCCTCCACCCAGATCTCCCCAACGGTACTTTATCAATTTGTGTCTCTGACCTTTTGTTTATCACAGCTGTTTGCCTGCAAGTCTTGACTCATTGTATCGGCCTGTCTTTCTTCCTATAGCTGTCCACGTGTCTGCTTCCTGTGTGATTTTTCTCTGTTTGGTGTTTTTGTTGTTGACACTGGTATTAGCAATGTGTTTTTTGACCCTCTGCCCTCCTCTACCCTTTCCTCTCTCTCCAGGTGAGTACTGGATAGATCCAAACCAGGGTTGCCATAGAGACTCCTTCAAGGGTTTTGTAACTTCACTGCACAGGGAGAGACGTGTCTGTACCCTGACAAGAAGTTCCAGTCGGTTAGTTTTCGTGCACACACACACAGATTTTGAGCATTTGAAAAACTCTCAAAGCTAACCGGAGCCTTTGACAAAAGCTGAATGATTTCTGGGAAAGAGATTAACATTATTTAGTCAATCGGTGTGTTGATTTAGTGAAGCTGAGCTGTACTTGAAGCTGATTGTTTTGTTTGTTTGCTATCAGGTGAAGTTAGCAGCCTGGAAAGGGGAGAAGCCCGGAACCTGGTACAGTAAATTCAGGAAAGGAAAACAGGTATAGTGTCATGGTTTTATTGCTGCTTGTGCATGCCAGTGTACAACAATTTCATGGAAAAGGACTTACAATGTATAGTATAAATAGTTTAATTATAAACACTGTTGCAAATGTAGGACATATGTGGTTGAATGATAATTAGCAGCATTAGTCAGCTATAACACAGAATGGATAGCGGTTGTTTATAGCGCCATGATATTTAATATGAAATTAATTTTTAAGCTTTTTAACCTTCTGTATTATTCTAAACAGACAAGCAATAAATCAGCGTGTAGTATGACCAACCAATATTAGATAGATTAAACATGCACTGTTTTTCTTGTAGGCCAGGCCTGTTTTGGAAATTAGGTGATGCATGAATTATTATTATGAGCAATGGTGGAGAAGAAATATCAAATTATAATAATATGAGAAAGATAATTTGAGAGTCAAGTCATGGCATTAAATAATAAGATATAATATCATCAGGTCGGCCTACCTACAGACCACAAGAAAAACAAAGTTCACCACAGTGTATTATACAGTAAGCGCTCAATACAAAACCCACAGTTCAACCACCAATTAATGAGTCCTTATCTCAGTTCCCATCTCCTAGGAGTCCGTCTTTCTATATCTCAGTAAGCAAACAAAAAAATACTCAGTTGAGGTTCAATTCAGAAGTTGGCCAACGGAAAGAAAACGCCTTTTGTGTTTAATAGACAAGCTTAGTAATTCTCCAACAACACCGGAGCCCCCCCGCAGCCTCTGATGCTGGTAAGCAGCGCACTGGCTGTAAGTAACTCATGACAGACTGGTCCAATTTCGGACATGTGAGTTTGATTTGAAACGCCGTTTCACAGATATTTCCTGAGCTGACTGGTGGCTGTGTGCAGGGATGTGCACAGACTTTTGTTGGGCAGGGGCTCAAGTGAAAAAAACGGCACTTCTCATAATTATTTATGATTTCTTTTTGACAAAACGTTAGTTTCACTAATAATTTGTTATTTTTGACCAGGCAATAAATCCTTTAATTATTTTGGTCTTATTGGATTACATAACACTTTTCGTTATTACTTGGTTGTCTATATCATGTAAAGTTACTGTTTAAGGCAGGACACGTTTTCATATAGTGGTCAATTTTGAGATTTTGGTCTATTATGCTTTTGTCTTCTTTACTCATGGAACAATACATGGAAAGAAAATTTCCAAAATACCACATTTAGATGGAGTTTGTTTTAAGCCTACCTCTCGTCGGTTTGCATTAGTAGATTTCTTCTAAATGAACTAAAACAATCTAATCTGCATATTTAAACATAACATTTCAAGGGGAAAGAGTCTTGATGTAAGTCATTTACTGAGGAAGCTCTGTGGTGACATGCTTTAGTATTTTCTTTATCCCATTCACCTGCAGTGACTTGTCAAATGTGTGCAAATTAGCGCATTTTAATTAGTTAACGCCTAATTTGCATATCAATGTGGCGATCGTGATTACATTATTAGACACGAATTGTACTGTATTCACCTGTTGTGTCTACATTAAGTAGGCTACAGTAACATTAGCCTGTATGACCAACCATGATAAATTGCCTTAGCTTAACTTTAGCTAACTTATTACATTAGAGTCATGCATGTTAGCAAGACTTATACTTGCCTTTTGTCTTTTTGCGAATTAGCTGTAAACTCGAGGCACTGGTAGTTTAGTCTTTTGTTCATCACCACTCACCTCCACACAAGCCAAGAAAAACACTGCTGGGAGAGAAGCTGGAGGGGCTGCCTGTCTGCTGTGCGCTGCTGCGGGGACGCGGAGCGGAGGGAGAGAGAGAGCATCTCCTTTCCTGATATTTAGATTTTTTATTCAGTAAATATATTTATTTGACAGGAAAGCTGTGCACAACAGGAATATATATATATATATATACTCTCTATATAAATTTATTATTTTTTTTAAAAAAGCATCCCAGAAATAAGGGCACTTTCTCTTGAGGAAGAAAAAGGGCAGGTGCTTGAGCCCCTTTGGATGTCTATGTGTGCACGTGCCTGGCTGTGTGTGTGACACAGGCGCCGATCGCCACAATAAGCTTAGCTTACTACATGTGTCTTTCTGTTGTACGTTTTTCCTGTCTGCCAAAGCTGCGGATGACCCAAAGATTTCACCCACCACCACCTTACCTGCAGGTGGTGGGTGCTACTCTCAGTCCTTGTGTAACACTAAATGTCTGTAGTGTCAGCTTCTGTCAAGCTTACGGCCATTGTACAAGAACAAGTCAAGGTACAGCGTAATGTGCGAAGTTGATTATTCCTCTGCAGACTAATTTACGCTCGCGTGTCATGTGACCACTGTGTAATCACAGCCTTTGCGATTAGAAAATCTCTCTATCATATTGCGATAATATTGCAAATGCAATTAATCGTTAAGCCCGAGCGCAAACATGGCCATAAAGTTTCGCAGATGAGTGCAATTTGCATTTTGTTTTGCATCTGTTAAATATTCATCTGTAATTTTTGTAATATTTGCTCTTAAAGTGTACTGAATAATATGATATAATATCATCAGTTAGGCCTACCTACAGACAAACACAGTGTATTATACAGTAAGTGCTCAATACAAAATGCACAGTTCAACCAACAGTTAATGAGTCCTTATCTCAGTTCAAATCTCCTAGGAGTCCATCTCTCATCAAAAACCTCCTTTTCTATATCCCAGTAAGCAACCAAAAAAAATACTAATTTTGAGGATAAGTAGCATAACACAGACATGCTTAATTAACATCTGAGTCAAATAATTATAGAAATGCAGCGACAAGAACAAATGTTTAATTTCAAGAGATCTTATTCTAATTCTAACTATTCTAATTATGTATTAACTCCCATTGCTCTTTCATTTGTTTCTCTCTGCGAGAGTAGTTTTTTATGACTCACTCTGTATGGAGTGTTTTGTCAGAGAGGGATTATTAGTTAGGTGCTTTAAATGTGCTCTCCTCCTTTTGAGTGTGGGCACATGGACAGCTGTTTTTTCTACTCTGCTCTGTGATGTTGTGTTACAGTGCGTAACTACCGGCTCCGCTTCCACACAGCAGTAGGTTTTATGTTGTTTTCCAGTTTCATTCCCTCCTGATGTATATCAGTTATGTTCTGTGCCATCTGTGCACATATGATGTACTGTTAAGTGCTATTGCTTTGCCTGGCTACAATCACAGCTGCCATATTCACTGGAAAATCTGGGTGTGAGACCCCCTTTATAAATGCGCTTCAGTTACCACTGAAATTATTTGAAGACACTAATAATTTCACTCCAACTGTGTGTGGTTATTAGCACTGGTGTTTGTGAATTGGACAATTTTTGCAAATGTTAGCTCATTTGCATAGAAAGCGCCAAATGTATGCATATTATCTCATTTAAATACATGCAAATAACACCGGAGTGCAGGTAGGGTAGTGCTTTGAGAATTGCATTTTTGGTTCTTACTTGTGTGTGATTCTGGTGTTTTCCTTCAGTTTTCCTACTCAGGGTCAGACAGCGTTCCGGTCCACGTGGTCCAGTTGACATTCCTGCAGCTGCTCAGCGCAACAGCCAAGCAAACCTTCACCTACCACTGCCTCAACTCCGCCGCCTGGCTGCACGCCGCCACAATCAGCCACGAACACGCATTGCGCTTCAGAGGCATCAACGGGGAGGAGCTGACACATGAGAACACACATTACATCAGTGCACTGTACGACGGATGTCAGGTGAGTTACACAAATTCAAATTCAGACATTTCAGTGTGAACACATACACCTACATTTGTTTTCTGATTGTTCAATTGTGTTTTTCTGCTTCAGGCTCGCTCGGGGCAAGAGAGGACAGTGTTGGAATTTGACGCTCCGCTGTCTAACACGCTCCCCATCATTGACGTGTCTGTGCCAGATTTTGGGAAAGGAAACCAGAAATTTGGTTTCCAGGTTGGCCCGGTCTGCTACAATGGTTAAACAAGCCGGAGAGAGATTACAACAGGAGTAATTTAATAAGAAAAAGAGCCATGGACACTTTTTAAATGCAGGGAGAAAACTACATTCAAGACTTACTTGGTCCCACATATTTATATATATATATATATTGATTTACCTACAACAGTGTTCCTTCATCTAAACATTCATTCTTTTATGCATTCATTCACTCAGACTCTACAATTCTTACCATCTCATACATTCTCTCAACTGACTCAAGAGCAGTGCATAAATGTATTGACTGTCCTCAGTTAAACACATTTTTTCCTTCCTCTTTGGAGGAGTAAATGGTGCTGTCACAGTTTCATCCATGTCTGTTCATACATTTATTGATGTATGCACTCAATTCCCATCTATAAATAATCATACACAAGTCCCCAAACATAAGAATCAGTGAATCCTCTTCAAAAATACAAAAACACCATGTTTCAGCAACATTCATCCACCGTATTGTTCTGTGTTATCTTCAAACCTCAATTTGTTTTTGTTGTTGTTGCCATTTTGTTGTTATAATTATGTGATGTATATTGGAGTGTAAGTCATCACGGTGCTATTATGTGGCTCCTTGCGGAGTACATTTTCTTTGTAAAAGGGAACTGGGGCAGTGCATTTTTTTATATTGTGAAGCCATGTTTTATATTTTTTCAAGATAACAAACATGATTGCCTCAAGGTCTTTCTATGCATAGTTGTGTGGGGAAGTGACTGAGTAACATATTTTAATAAAAGTACATAATGTACATTTAAGTTAATGTGATGAGATTGAGTTTTATTGAATGCATTTGTTAAGCAAAGCCAAAAGCATAAAGGTCTTAGGAGCAGAGAGACACATGTACTTCTGCTTTTCAACCAGGTATTCCCTTCAGTATGCTCTATTCAGGTCTCCCCAATATTCATACTGCACATTTCTTACAATGGTTACAGGGTGTTTCATGACAGCATACAGTTAAATGAATGTTAATTAAAAGCAATTTTTTGTGATGGTAATGTCGGTCAGTTCACACTTTGACTGAGTGAACTTTAACTGAAATATCTCAACTATTGGAAGGATTGCCATCAGATTTGGTGCAGATATTGTTGGTCCCCAGAGGACGAAGTATACTGATAAAGGGCATCCCCTTTTCCTTTAGCATCAAAATGAGGGTGACATTTTTGTAATTTAGTTGAATGTCTCAACAACTGCTGTGTTTATTGTCATTAACTCACCGTGTTCATGGTGCAGATACAACTAATGAAATTGCTAGTTACCAAATGTTAGCATGGTGACATGCTAATCTAAGATGCCTAACATGGTAAACAACCTAGCATGTTAGCATCATCATTGTCAGCATTTAGCTTAAAGCACATGTTTTCCCAAGTATAGCCTCACAAAGTCACTGCTGCTGTACAATTGTCTTGTTAAATACGCATTTGATTTATTGTCTCTACTACTGTAACATTTTTAAGATGTTATGGGGTGCATGATGACCACATATAATGCATTAAAGCAATTTTTAAAAGTAATGTATCAAAAGTAGAGTGATATGACAATACACCAAATGGTCGCTTAAGTAGCCTACCCTTATCCTGAAAGGTCAGAAAAATAGGTTGATCCATTTAATCCCTTGTCACTAATCAGTGAAATCTCGATGTATATTCTTTAAAAAGCAGGAAGCTGGAAGCCAGTGGAGGAATGATAAAATGTATGTAATGTGCTCTGAGTTCTAGTTAAAAGCCCAGCAACTGCATCTTGAATCAGCTCCAAAGTGCCTTAGTAAGTGCAGAATATGGGGAATTTAAATTTTCACAGCAGCACACTCAAAATATTTCAAACATGGCATGAAGCCATGCTTTTCATTAATTTCCACTATGAAATGGAATTGTATTTTAGATGTGTGTATGTGTGTGTGTGTGTGTGTGTAAAGTGTGATAGTAATCTATTCATTATGCGCTGCAGTTTGAGCATACACCATGCTGCTTTTTGTTGACCCTTATCTCTCCCTGCTCTTCTGTCTATCCTGACACTTCCAATGAGGCTGAAACTTTAATGAGATGAAGCCGATCAACACACCTCGTCCAGAGTCTATTTCATTGATGAAATTTAGATGGAGTGACATGAAAGTCAGCTACATCGTGTTCTCTCTTTTTTATTATTATTATTTAGCATTATGAAAAAACTCAAAATAAAAACGTGGAAATCTTAATATTTGTCCCCTTTGAGCTACCCAACTTGTCAGAACGACATTGGTCTGACACTGTTTAATATTTTATTCCTTTTCAGTTGTAGTGAAGTGTACTGAAGATAGATTTCAATGTCCACAGAGATAATGTGAAAGCCAAGATAAAGGTAAGAAAAAGTTGAGTTCTTCATTTCTTTTAAGCCACAATAAGGTTCAAAATCATTTAAAACATTACAATGAGTTATCTGTGCAGTAAAAACCACAGAATTCTTTAAAACAATATCACAAAAATCATATCATCACCAAATAAAACCACGAAAAATTACATTAAATATACATACAATGAATTAATTGTGTGTATATATATATAAATTAATTAATTAATTGTCTGGCTGATAATGAAGGCTACAACTTAAACAAAGGGCAGTTGATGATGGGCTTTACAGCTGATAAAATATGAGGTAATGACGAGTCTAGGCAATGTAGAACTGAGCTTAAAGGTGGGTCTAAACTTAAAACCTTTTAATTTGTGTAACAATGTGTCCTTTATTCTGGTAATCTAAGAATAGCAAATTTGTCTTTGTATTATATTTTTTGTCCATTCAATAGTTTCATTTTGTGATGTCTAGCAATTGAGCAGTGCATTCAAGGGGGCGCTAGCATGACAGACTTTTAGTCTTGTTTTCTCACGCTTTTTCCTTGGAAAGATCAAATTATGGTCGCTAACCAATACTTCAAAAACATTTGCTAAGAAAGCTAAACATGGGAACAAGGAAAGAGTACGAGCAGGAGCAACTGCACACTCATGCACAAAAGATATATATATAGCCTATATTTACAGTATCTCACAAAAGTGAGTACAACCCTCACATTTGTGTAATTTCTTTGTAAATAAATGACACTTTGATACAATGTAAAGTAGTGAGTGTACAGCATGGATGACAGTGTAAATTTGCTGTCCCCTAAAAATAACATATCACACAGCCATTAATGTCTAAACCGCTGCCAATAAAAGTGAGTACACCCCTGGAAATGTCCAAATTGGGCCCATCCATCCATCCATCCATCCATCCATCCATCCATCCATCGTCAACCGCTTATCCTGTGTACAGGGTCGCGAGGGGCTGGAGCCAATCCCTGCTAACATCGGGCGAAAGGCGGGGTACACCCTGGACAGGTCGCCAGTCCATCGCAGCAAATTGGGTCCAAAGTGTCAATATTTTGTGTGGCCACCATTGTTTTCCAGAGCTTCACAGGTTGCCTCTGGAGTCCTCTTCCACTTCTCCATGACGACATCATGGAGCTGGTGGATGTTAGAGACCTTGCGCTCCTCCACCTTCCGTTTGAGGATGACCACAGGTGCTCATTAGGGTTTAGGTCTGGAGACATGCTTGGCCAGTCCATCACCTTTACCCTTATTTAGCAAGGCAGTGGTCGACTTGGAGGTGTGTTTGGGGTCGTTATCATGTTGGAATACTGCCCTGCAGCACAGTCTCCGAAGGGAGGGGATCATACTCTGCATTACTATGTCACAGTACATGTTGGCATTCATGGTTCCCTCAATGAACTGTAGCTCACTGAGGCTCACATCAAACATCTCTGCAAGACCTCCTTCTTCCACCTCAGGAACATCGCCAAACTCCGTCCCACACTCACCACTGTGGATACTTTTAAACGTGGCTTTAAAACCCACCTTTTTAGGAGAGCTTTTGATTGAACTCTTGCCTTTTTGTTTATTTTATTTTATTTTTTATTATTTTTATTTTCATGCTCTCCATGTGTTTTTATTTTTAGCTCTTACCTGTTTTATCATGTAGCACTTTGGGATTTGCGTAAATGTAAAGTGCATTACAAATTAAATGTATTATTATTATTATTATTACTCCCACTACCATGTTTGACTGTACACCATCTGAACCAAATAAGTTTATCTTGGTCTCATCAGACCACAGGACACGGTTCCAGTAATCCATGTCCTAAGTATGCTTGTCTTGAACAAACTGTTTGCAGGGTTTCTTGTGCATAATGTTTGAAGAGGCTTCCTTCTGTGACGACAGCCATGCAGACCAATTTGATGCAGTGTGTGGTGTATGGTCTGAGCTCTGACAGCCTGACCCCCCCACCCCTTCAACCTCTGCTGCAATGCTGACAGCATTCATACGTATATTTCCCAAAGACAACCTCGGGATATGCTGCTGAGCATGTGCACTCAATTTCTTTGGTCGACCATGGCAAGGCCTTTTCTGAGTGGAACCTGTCCTGTTGACAAGCTGTATGGTCTTGGCCACCGTGCTGCAGCTCAGTTTCAGGGTCTTGGCAATCTTCTTATAGCCTAGGCCATCTTTATGTACAGCAACCATTCTTTTTTTCAGATCCTCATAGAGTTCTTTGCCATGAGCCATGTTGATCTTCCAGTGACCAGTATGAGGGAGTGTGAGAGCGATGACACCAAATTTAACACACCTTCTCCACATTCACACCTGTGACCTTGTAATACTAACAAGTCACATGATGCCAGGGAGGGAAAATTACTAAGTGGGCCCAATTGGGACATTTTCACTTAAGCTCCTTTTCCACTGCATGGTACCAGCTCGATTCGCCTCAACTTGCCGCGCCTTTGTTATGGTTTTCCATTGTGGAAAGGTTGTACTTGTACCTGCTGTCCGGTACTTTTTTTTGTATCACCTCCATCGAGGTTCCGAGCGAGCTGAGGCGATTCTAAAATGTGACGTGAAAACACATCAGACTACTGATTGGTCAGAGAGAATCGTCACTATTCACTGCATCATCATTGTGCGCGCCAGACAGAGGCCAGGAGCAGAAAGTTTTATTTTTATTTTATTTATTTATTTATTTGAAAAGGGACAATGTACACTGATCAACATTCAAAGCAAATGTTAGCGTAACCGAGTTAGCCACAGGCTAGTTTTCATCGGCAGTCCCCTTGCCAGATGTTATCAGGCATCCTAAAATAGTAAACTGTTATAATACAATAAAATACATTATACAATTGACAAAAGGTAAAAAAAAATTACACAGTGTTAAAAATCACAAATAACTGAGTAAACAAGATGAGCAGATCAAATCTAAAAATAGATGATATAGTTATTGTTGGTGGATGGGACCAGCGTCAGTGTTGACAATGTTGATTTTCAATAAGCCATTTCTTATCATTACTCTGAAATGAGTAATAGGATGGAGACTAAACTAATTGATGGTGGTATCAATGGAGTTCCATTGATGTGACGCTGTAAATGAAAAGACGGCATGGCTGAATACAGTTTTTTGAGTGGGATTGTGCAGTCCCTCCTAGCTGCACCTCTAGTAACTGTTTGCAGTTGATTTAAAGTTGATAAGGCCAGACAAAGGAGGAGGAGCTAAACTGTGCAAGATCTTATAAACTAAGCAGATGTTTCTGTATTTTATGAGGTTTGCCCAACTAAGCAGTTTATACTTCTTTAGAATATGGCAATGATGGTAACGAAATGGCCTATTGTCTAGAGTGCTTGTTTGTATAATGATTTCAGTGGTTTTAAGGCTGTAGAGTGTGAGTTGGACCAACTTATCAGACAGTAGGTGATGTGGGAGAGAACCAATG